GATTATCTCCACCTGGGACTCAAAACCAAAATAATTGTTGATATAGCCATTGCCATCATAGAACATCAGAGATGAGAGAAGAAAATTTTACAAAGAAAATTAATGATGAATAATAGACTTTACATAACATGGGAAAGCTGTTGTGCCTGTGGTAGAAAAGGATGATTTTACATTTGAATTTGAGTCTTGCTTCATGCCTGTGAAACTTGTAATAGTTGTCTTAGCTCCACATCCTTCACAGATTTTCCTCTGAGTACGGCATTAATTACATTATTTTAGATATGAGTAGTGTAAGCTTATAAGAGAACACAAATAAAACTCCTGATATACTACCTGTAGCTAGAACAATCTCAGCGACATAATTTATATGATTAATAAATTCCCATTTTACTGCTTAGTAAAAAGCACTTTCCAAATAGTCGGCCTCAATTTATATACCATCGTAAACCATTCCAAATCAGTGCTATCCCAAACACCAGTTAGCTATTTTAGGAGCAAAGGAACTTAAAAAGAAATAATCATGATGATAAGAAGTCCATATATGTGAAGAGAAAAAGAAAGGAAATGGGTATATACGAACAAAACCAGCAGATTCTCTCTCCTACATTATATATGCCTTTCTCTTCTGCTTCGTCTAAAAATTGAGAAAATTGTGTTCCAAGTGGCAAGATTAAAATGATAACTATATTCAATATTCTGGAGCAATGGAAAAATATATCCCCTGTTCTCTAGATAGCTCTAAAATCCAAGTAACAACAGGAAAAGAAAGAAGCCAGCTTGGTCTTCAGGGCAAGTTCCCAAACAGTCAGGGCTCCACAGAAAAGCGCTGTTTGGAAAAAAAAAATACAAATAAAGAAAAGAAAAGGAAGGAAGGGAGAAAGGGAGGGAGAGAAAAAAGGGAGGAAGGGAGAAAGAGAGAAACAGAGAGAGAAAAACCAAAACCATATCTTGAAATAGTGATCAAGGCCATTGTGGTATTCTTTTCTTTTAATGTATTTATTTTGCATTCTAAACTTAGCTTCCCCTCCCTCCTCTCCTCCCAGTCCCTTCCCAAAACCTTCTCACTACCTCCCATCCACTCTTCATCTGCTTCTATTCAGTAAGGGCAAGCCTCCCACGGATATGGACAAAAGAGGCATGTCAGGTTGTATTAGGACTAAGCTCCTCGCCTTGTTTTAAGGCAGGACAAGACAACCCAGCAAGAAGAACATTATCCCAAAGGTCAGCAAAGGAGTCAGAGACAGCCCTGTCTCTCTCTGTTAGAAGTCCCACAGGGAGATCAAGCTGCATAACTGTCACCCACATGCAGAGGGCCTAGGTCGGTAATATGCAGGCCACGTTGTTCAGTTTCATCTCTGTGAGCTTCTATGAACCCAGGCTAGTTAACTCTGTAGGGTTTGTGTGTGTGTGGGGGGGTGCTGTTCTTGACCCCCATGCATCCTAAAATCCCTCCTCACCCTCTTCAGCCACATTCACAACTCTCCCTAATGTTTTTGAGAACCAACCCAGCTACATAATCTTCAACCAACTCTCTGCCCAGTCCATGGGATGGGCTAGAGTAAGGATGGTACAGAGATTGTGGGAGTGGCCAACCAATGACTGGCATAGTCTGAGACCTCAAGAGTGAGCCCACCCCTGACACTGCCTGCAGCACCAGGACCCAGAGGCTGCGTGGCCCAGAGATCTAGGATAGAACCAAACAGGACTGTAGGGGGAAAAAAATGTCAATGTATTAATATCTTAAAGCTATTCTGCAATACTCATAGATTGGTGTCTGGCCCAATCTGTAGTTATGTTTCATTTGTATTTTAATAAATAAAGCTTGCCTGAACGTCAGAGAGTAAAGCGGCCCCATTGATCAGCCTCAGTTGTGAAACACATCTTTAATTCCACTAGCCACACTAGTTTGCCATAGAAAATGGGCAGTAGTGTTACTCACCTTTAATCCCAAACTCTAGAGAGAAATATAAGACAGGAAGAGACAGCTCTTGGTGAGTCTCATTCTGAGAATTCCTGGAGACAGGATTGCCGTTTTGGACTGAGGTAAAGGTCAGAACCAGAGCCTGGCTGTTATGCTTTTCTGACTTCAGATTGAATATCTGTCTCTGGGACTTATGCATCATGCTACACCAGTGGTCATCAGAGAGGCTTTATCAAGGACTGAAGTAAACAGATGCAGAGACCCACAGTCAAACATTGGGCCATTCTTTTAGGAAGTTTTTTCCCTTTGGATAGTGTAATTCAATAGCGTAACCTAAAGGTGTGTTTGTTAAAGTTGCACCAAGTGTGCACCTCTGAAAGGGGATGGATACACTGAGCTGTTTGTGAAATCTACTTGGCTCTTTTCAACTCTGCACCAACTCCATTGCGTCGTCATGCAGCATTGCTCCCATTCTATTCCTGTGCCTTCATTGCCCTGCGCAATCACATGACAAGTTTAATCCTATTACATTGATGAATTGTTGACACGTCACCTTTCATTCTCTAAAGCCATTTGGGCATTTCACCCATTAGCACTTTTGCTCTGTTACAAAGAGCCATTGATACAAATTATACAAACAATATCACCATGCCCTGCAGTGTTCTGGTTATTAAGGTTTAAGTTTGACCCTTTAGTTTACTCAGTGTTCAAGTCATTATCGGGGATGATGTAGTCATTCTTCAAATAACAGTTTCTCTATGTACATGATCCCTGATATTTGAATCTTTCCCTTAAATACAGTCATTCTGTGATAAAAGTTTACTTTGTTCTCATAGTGGCAACAGAAAAACAGCAGTTTGTGTGTTGGGGCATATCTTCTAGGTTCTCCTGTATATAATACATGGTTTTTTATGGACTTCCCACAGGGCAGCTAACCCTGATTGCTCTTCGGGCTGACGAGGGTGGGGGACTTGATTGGGGGAGGGGGAGGGAAATGGGAGGTGGTGGTGGGAAGGAGGCAGAAATTTCTAATAAATAAATAAATAAAAAACTTTGGCCAATGGAAATGAAAAAAAAAAAAAGATGATCTGCTGTCTGGTCTGGGCAGCTGAAATACAACCAGCAAAATTACAAACTCTTCCTGGAGAAAGCTGCAGCTAGAATAACCCTGCCTAAACTTCTTCTACTTTATTTGAGATGGATTAATCAATAAATTCCTCTGGCTCGTCTGTTGAGCTCATCTATTCATGGTAATATAGCAGTCATGAAGAATATGCCCTACCTCAAGATTTCTGATTTGATGTTAAGAGGCTCATCTTGTCTCCTGTACCTATTATACTGTAGCAAAAACTTTTAGCCAAGTTGTCAGACAAACTTGTTTTCTCCATCTTTGGGGAAAATATAATGTCTAGGATCAATCAGTATTAAACAGGAAAGAAAACATGTTTCATGGAATCAAAACTCAATCTAACCCCTCATTTGATTATGCTTACAAATGAATGCATATTTATCGCATTATGTCTACACAAATAGTGCTGATGAAAAACACTCTTGATACTGAGTATTTCAAAAAACAGAAACTCAAGTCATCACATCCAGAAATTCTACAAAACAAGTCAAAATATTTGTTATGTTTAGATTTCACATTTCTCAAAAATATTTTTTTAAGATTGCCTCTCCATCCATGTTTTAGGTATAAGAGTAAATTGGAGATGGGAAAAAATACCATGATACATAATTACATTTCTCTATCCTTTTGCTTTGGTTGCTACCTAACAATTCAAAAAAAATTTCAGTGTAGTTTTCTTATTTCCTCATTTTTTTCTATCTGTAATACTTCTACTGCCACTGAGGGATCTACTCTGCACTTGAAGAATAAAAACTATGATATGAGTTTTCCACAATTTTTTATTAATTTCTATTGAGCTCTACATTTGTGGGAAAAAAATCCACAATTATTTTTTGAAGAAGTAACTTTACATGAGGTATTTGGAGAATTTAATATTTTTCTTCCTTTCAAAGCCAACCTTTCAAGCTATTCTTTTAACTCAAAATAAAATTTTAGGCATTACAACCTAAATATTATTTTCAATCCTGTTGCATCCCCCGTGTAACAAAATCAATTGCCATCCATAAGAGAAATATAATTTGGATGTATTGGAGAGAAGACCATGAATATTTAAAGCAAAAGATAAATAATTTGATATTTTTCAACTATTTATCATTTATAACATACATACCCCAAAATGAATAATTTGTGCATGATTTCAGTCTAGCACACTTTCCTTCTATATGATACAAATTCATGGATCTCTGTTTTTGTCCAATTGTGTTTATAAAAAGTTAATATCCAGGCTCATTACTGAAGCTCTCCCAAAGTAGTTATTTTCTTCCAAATACATGGGAAGCAAAGCTGTAAAACAATAACACTTTCATGACGCTTACCAGACTAGCCCTCACTCACTTAGCATAAATATAGAAACCATTGAAATATTGAAAGTGTTTTCAACATAGAGAACAACCACTTGACTACAGCTGGAGCGTTCATTGGTTTAAGGAATTTTTTTATAAAAAAAAAGGGGGGGAACTCTCTCTAATCATTATCTGACCACAATAATCAAGTAGAGGGAGCAGTGACCACAGCTAATAAAGCTTGCTTGATTAAAGAACACCATTCAATAAACAAAATCAGACACAGCAGCAACAAAACATCTTATAATACCTGCTTCTAAATTCATAAGAACATGCTTAAAACATCTAGTTTTAGCAATGACAAACTATGAGACATACAAAAGAATATACTCTACCAAGAAAAAAAAATAGCTAGTAAAAACTACCTTTGTGATAATAAGGTATTGTATTTATTAAAGCCTCAGGCAAATGGCTTTTTAGTAAATTAATGCCCCAAAATTTGGGCATCAAATGAGCATGAATAATAAAAACTCAGAGAAATTGGGGTTCAACCTAAAAGTCAAGAAAAGAAAATAGACAGCCACTAGCTCTTACCTCAATCTGAAAATGATGATCCTGCCTCCAGAAAACCTCAGAAAAAGCCTGAGAATGTCTCCTCCCATTTTTTTTAAATATGGAAGACATCACGAATTTGCGTGTCATCCTTGCACAGGGGTCATGCTAATCTACTCTGTATCACTCAGATTTTAGTATATGTGCTGCGGAAGCGAGCACTCATCCCATTTTGTAATATTCTCTAGGGTTAGGATTAAAGACATTTACCATTGGGATTAAAGGCATGTACCACCTGGTTTCTATGGCAACTAGTGTGGTTACTGAGGTTAAAGGTGTGTGTTACCAAAGGCTGACCAGTGGAGCTGTTTTTACTCTCTGATGTTTAGTCAAGCTTATTTATTAAACTACATTAAATACCACTACATTTCTCAAAATATGCAACTTCCTTAAACTGAGGTTGGCTTTTCAATAAGGAAGTTGATGTGTAAAAAATTGAACTATATGATAGAAACTTAATAAATAATGAATATTGAGTACAATATCAGAGAAAGTTGTTCTGACATGCATTTTATATAATCACTTAGGCCACATTTATCAGTTTTCTTCTTTTATAACATTTTAAAAGTTTTCAATGATGTTTTCATTGGAAAGATGCATATTATCCCATTATCCTACACCCCCAAATTTATTTAGCTAATCTTGGACAAAGAATTGAAGAGATATCAGATGCCACTGTTCAATACCATAGAAGCATTTTCCTTTGATCACTCTGTGGAGCAGTATGATGTTCTGAGCTGTGTTTGTTAACTTTCTATATTACAGAAGAGAGAAAATGGAGTGCTATTTGTATAGATGAGTAACTATAACTCAACATATTAAATTTTATCTACCAACTACAGTCTTCTCTTTATTCAACTTTGGCAAATCCACTTCTTATCTTTTGGTTCTACCTTCATGCTGTCCTCTCACAGAGTTTTACAAAATACACAGAGCATGACCCAGAAAAGTATGTTTCTCGTTCAACAGCAATTGTCACAAAGGGTCAAGTAGCCTGAAGTAGAATATGTAAGCTAATTATGAAACTGATGGAATCAGAGATTTCACTCCAATTACTAAGTTTCTTGCTTTATGATCAGAAGCTCGAGAAAAATCTACATGCATCAATGTCAATACATTATTTTAAGGTTCGGTGACCCTCAAATTCCCAATGCTCTAATATAGTAGAATAATTGATGTACTAAAGTACATTTCAAGAAATATGTTTAAGTGATGTGAAGTTTTTAATCAAACATGGAACTCTATGAATAAGCCAATATTGGGTGTTTGTGTGTAATTAGAGAAATAAAATTCAGATGATTAAGAAATGAGGTGAAGAAAGTGGTCAACCGTATTAACAATGAGAGAAACCAGTGGCTTTTGTGTAACCCTGTGATGTAAATCTTGTCTCAGTACTCACGCTATAAATATCTTCATTTCTTGTCCATAAAGCAGAGAAGTTCATAAATTAAGCAACACACGCTAAAATATTAATCCCCACATGGTTACTAAGTATCTACCAGTTTGCATTGATGTTCCAGCAAGTGTACCTGAATGCTAATATCCTCCTTCCTTCCTCTATATTTCTTTTCTTCACCATTGTCCTTTCTTATTTGATGGAAGACAACTCAACAATTTTGAAAAAGAGATTTTTAAGCAACTGAGATAGAATGAATCAATTTATAAGTTGTCAGTCTCATACTTAGCACAAAATGCACTTTAGAGACCTCACATCGGCTTCTATTCAGAATGAGTAATTTTCAAAATCTGGTGCGGTTAAATGCAAAATACAATAATTACAGCAAGTTAAAATGATGTTAAATTGTAGGAACATCTTCATATAATATATGCACATATTTTAACTGAAAGTACCAGAGAATTCCCACATCCAATGTTTTGAGAAAAAATATATTAAGATATACTTAATATCCCAAAATATCCAGGTAGCCGTATTCACCATATAGCTTGTCTTAATCTACATTGACTTCGAATACAGCCTGAAACATTGTAACAAACGTAGTGATGAGACTAAAGTAAAACTGACAGTTTTGCTCCATCTTCTCAGTAACATCACTTATCAAAACATCCCCTTGTTTCTTCACTTTCAATTAAAATCACAGTTTGACTCTCTAATTCCATTCCTGTAGCTGAGATTTCCCTAATGGCAGATATCTACTGTTGTAAGGAGGAGGCCGCTAGTGGGTTCCTGGCAACTTAGCCCCAAAATGACCACCCAGACACTTTATTAATTAAATCACTGCTTGGCCCAATAGCTCTAACTTCTTATTGGCTAACACTTACATCTGAATTTAACCCACTTTTAGTAATCTGTGTATCACGACATGGCTGTGGCTTACCGGGTAAAGTTTCCAGCTTCTGTCTCCAGTAGCAGCTCCATGGCTTCTCTCTGACTCTGCCTTCCTTCTCCCAAGCAATAGGCCAAGCCAGTTTCTTTATTCATTAATGGTAATCACAGCATAGAAGGGAGATCCCACATACTCAGTAACATCACTCATCAAAACATACTTTTGTTTCTTCACTTTCAATTAACATCACAGTTGACTCTCTAATTTCATTCCTGTAGCTGAGACTTCCTTAGAGACAGATATCTACTATCCCCTAGGCTTGTCTGTTCATTCTCTCAACAAATTGTCTGCTATCAAATGACATTTAGCAAATATAAATATCATTTGAAATATGTCTTCAAATACCACTTAGTCATATTCAGTTCATCAGGAAATATTTAGAACATCAACAGGGATTCAATTGCTTTCCTCATAGGATGTAGTTAGCAAAACTAAAATAAAAATTAATGAAATTAAAGAGAAAAGGTCAGGTTGTTAGAATTGACACTCATTAACTGGGAATTTTAAAGTTTTCTAATACTTGTCTTGCTTTATTTATTAAAGCAGTGATTTAATTAATAAAGTGTCTGTGTGGTCATTTTGGGGCTAAGTGGCCAGGAACCGACTAGTGGCCTCCACCTTAAAACAACAGATATCTGCCTTTAGGGAAATCTCAGCTACAGAAATGAAATTAGAGTCAATAAATAAATAAATATTTATTTATTATTGTCTTCTGTAAAATGAAGGTTTTCTGAGTTGATATCCAAATTATATCTTCATTTCAAAAATATTATTTTAACTGCAATTTTAAAATATTAAGTGTTAGAATTTTATTATTCAAATATTGTTTTATTATTCAACTATTATTGAGAACCAAAAAAAAAATAGCATGCCTGCCTTCATAAACTCCAAGTCTATGTATATTGTATGATTATAAAATGCAGACAAACACACACACAGGAAATAAATATGCACATGCAAATACTTCATCTTCTGTTTTGAATACTCTGTTGGTTGGTCTTCTGCCATCTTGGTACAGGGTAGGGCCATCTAGAAATAGGGAATCTCAATTAAGAAAATGCTTTTATCAGATTAACCCATAGACAAGTCTGTGGGAAATGTTCTTGATTAATGGTTGATGTAGAATGGTCAAGCCCTCTATGGGTGGCATGACTGCAGGGCTGGTATTCCTAAGTTATATGAGATAGCAGGCTGACAAGCCAACAGGTGTAAGCCAGTAAGCAAATTTCTTCCATGGCCTCTGCTAAAGTTCCTACCTCCAGGTTCCTGCCTTGAGTTCTCTTAGTGAAAGACTGGGACTTGGACATGTAAACCAAATAAACTGTTTTGTTTCCAAGTTAAATTTGTTCAGTGCTTTATCACTGAAATAAAGGGAAACTGAGACATGTGTGAAAGAAAACTGCTTGGGGGTCATACTGCTCTGTTTATTTCTGCTTCATTTCTGTGAACTGAAGACAGTGACCTCTGGCAGAGTAGGCAGCTTGTCAAAGTCACATTTGCTGTGTTTAGTTCTAAGGAATTCTTCTTTATAATGAGCAAACTATACCTTTAGTAGACAGAAGAAATGTCCAATCAAGAGAGATGAAGTTCATAGTAAAGAAGACGTGTTATATGAACTGATCTCTGTCCATGAGATAACCAATAAGAGTTTTGTGGTTCTCATTTATTTTTCACAATGTATTATAACACTTTTCCCTTCTCTTTCAAACCTACAGATTCTCCTATAACCCTCTGTACTCTTTTTCAAATTCAAGGCCTCATTTGTCATCAAATGTTATTGCATAAATATATATTCCCAAATATAACCTGTTGAGTCCATATCATGTTACTTGTATATATGTTTTAAGGATTGACGGCAGGGTACTGAACTGCTGTACCCTTCCCTGGGGAGAGCCACCTCTCCATTCCTGTAGTTCTTTTTTAGGATCGTGCCTCCTGAGCTTTTCCCCATGGAGTTCGGCATCATCATTAATTTCCCCTTCTTCAGCTCACGTTTAGGCAGTAGTATGGGTGAAACCTAACAAGTGTAACTTTTGATGTAACTAGGAGACCCAGTTTCACAGCAAAATCCCTGATACTCCTGGCGTCCACAGTCTTTTTACCCTTTCTTCCACATTGTTTTCTGAGCTTTAGCCATTGGGACTGAGTTCTGTAAACGGAGGCTGCACTCTTATTTCCTGGACACTGAGACCTAAATAATCACACAAAACCTGCATTAATTATAACACTGTTTGACCAATGGCTCAGGTGTATTCCCAGCTAGCACTTACATCTTACATAAATTCATTTCTATTATTTTACACTTACCATGAGGCTTGTGGTTTGTTACCTCAGATCTCGCTTCCTGGGTGTGGCATCTCCTACTCAATATTAATAATTTGGATACATCATCCAATATAATGAGTTAACAAGCCAATTCAATAATATTTGCAAATACATCTCATGGCACATTTTTCTCTGTACATTTACTCTATTAGTTTGATAATTTTAACTTTGTTAACTATTAAGGGAACATCACTATGATCTCCTTAACTCTATTTTCTGTCCAGTCTCTATCACCACTTGCCATCCACTCTACACATGAACTCAGATGTATCATCTTAGAAATCTAATTATATCAATACTATAATTAAAACTTACATTTATATAGCATTTTGTGTTTCCCAATTCTTTAAAACTGCATTCACAGCTCTTTATGTGTAATTTAATTATTCTTAATTCTGGATGTACATACAGTGTAACACAACTTTCTTAGTTGTTGATGATAGAAGCAGAAAAGAAAGAGTGGGGATATAAATTAAATTACATGGATAACTT